TTAGGGTGTAAATGGCATTTTTCACCTTCATTTGTTATTCAATATCAATTTAATGTTGTACTACTGCCCTTTACTGCTGTCCTTTTTTCTTCAGCTATCAATAAGGGGTTATGGGTAGCAGTTAATTTATAACGGTAAAAAATGTCCATTTGAAGAGTGGCTAAACAACCACTTTACAGGGCAAAATTTGGAACTAGGTCATTGATCTAAGGTGAGCAAATTAAACAGTAAGGGATTGAAGGTGCAGGCAAGGCACCTGACTCTGTTTGAGCTTTAGAAGAACTCAAGTAGAGAATAAACTTTATGCAGAAAACTAACAGCTTCTCATATGCAGTGTACTATCCTACCTGCACAAGTAACCAGGAGACAAGCACCGAGGCCCAGGGGTTCCCACTCTGAGATGTTTTCCTCGCCAGAGCCAGGACACCACCTGTAGAGATTTAAAACATTAACAAAAGCAAAGCCTCACTGCCTTATATTGCTCATGGTCCTAAATCAGATAAACAACTGAGTCATCCTGCACTAGTCCTTACACCAAACACACAATGAGAGGATTTTTTTTCCCTCCTGAGAAAGTCAACACTTCAAGCCATCTGTTGTCAAACGATGCTGTCCAAATTAACATGCCTCCACTAGAAAAACGAGACATGATGAAATTAATAACAAGTGTCAGTTTCTCACATTTGAGATGGAGGCCTCTTCCAACAGATGGCTGATTATTAAAATGTTGACTCAGCTTTACAGAAGACCAGCTGGAGTTGGATATGCTTTCATATACTCTGGATCAACTATTTAGCCCTGATCATAACCTGAACAAGCCACATTAGTAATTAAATCCTGTTCACCACAGAAATGGTCAGAGGCCAAATCAGCTAAAACTCCAATAAACAAATAATTTGCTGCTCTTTGATATGTAATTCTTAATGTTGGGGACAACAGGCAAAACCATTTCCAAACATTGGGCAAAGGGCCACCTGTTCCATAACCTCACCAAACAGGTTGTCTTTGGACAGGGCATACAGGACCCGGGAGGCTCCTATTAGGTTACTCATGGCAGCTGACACGGTGGAGGAGTAAACACCAATTGTTACCAGGGGCGGCCATATATTGAGGTCTCGCAGGAAACTGTAGTCTTTTTGGAGAAGGTGACTAAGGATAATGGATAAAACCCCAAATGAAATGAGTCAATTACTTCAGCAGAATATCAGCAGACATATGCAAATATGCATAACTTAAATGCAAATCATTTTCATTAAACCCTAACCCTTTCATTAAATATTCACGTGACCAGTGTTAAGAGTAATTTTTCTATGATCAGATTTTGAAGTCATAATCAGACACTATGGCAAATAAAAACTTTTAGTTTTATCTATTTCAGTTTGCTTGACTGTGTGTCTGACCGGTCACAGGTCCATGCAGCCAGCAGACTAAGGAAATTGTATGTGATGAAAGTTATAAGAACAGCTGCAAGCGTTCCTCTTGGGATGGAATAGCTGGGGTTTTTCAGGTCACCTGGAAAACACATGACAAAAGTTTCTTCTTAGTTTTCTTCTAAGTTCACACATATTGCGTCTTAAATCAGGGGCTGGACTCACAACAGTCCACATTTCTAGACCCGTTTTAATCAGTTGTTAAAAGGCTCTACTCCAAATCTTGCTGAGAAGTACCACTTTCTTTTGCCCAAGTTTGAAGAATAAAAATAATGTAACCTTTGCATTCCTCAATATCTTATAATCCATAATGTGCCATGGGTCAATTGTTTCATGGTCCAATCAGGGTGTCATTGCGTGTCGTCCCACATCTCTCTCCCCCATTTCCTATCTTCAGCTATCTCTATCAAAGTGTAAAAAGCCACAAAAATATAAAATAAAAAATAAATTAAAAAACAGAGTCATATGTGGCTCCAGAGCTGTAAGGTTGCTTACCCCTGAGCTAGGAATTAATATGCTTTGTGTTTTGTGTTGTAGGATCCAGCCCCTGAACTGGGACAAAGCTATGGGTTCCTTCCTTCCTGAAGTGACAACTAAAACAGGACTATTTATTGTTTATTGTTATTTTAACATCATCTTACCTGACATGTTGGAGCCTGCCATAATTCCAGTGCAGCCATTGAACATGACAGCAAACACTGTGGCAAAACTCATCATGGTACCAGTGGTGTAGTCTACTGTGTAACTGGCTAGAAGGAATGACAGGAGGATGGATCAATCAGTATCACTTATGCAAGATTGGGGAACTTTTGAGATTTCTAACATTAATTCTTTTTTTGTTTCTTCATAAATAATAAAAGTCTCTAATTAACAAACAAGAACTAAGATTACAAAGCCTGTTCTTTCCATTGAGGTCTAACACTAGAAATACGCTTAAGATTATAAAAGCATATAAAATGCCGGACCATGACATCAGACATGCTCAACACTCACGCAATAGGTTGCCCTCCAGGGTGCGGAGCTGAAAGCCAGAATAATTAGCACTGTTCAGGCTGGTACTGTTGAGAACAGACCTTTCTGGCACAATCACCACAATGGGCCCCACAATGAAAAAACTAATGAAGATTGAAGCCAGGACTGTCACGACTATGATGAAGATAATGAAGGTTGCTTTAGCATAGATGTGGGCTCCCACCTGTAATGACAAACCAGGCAGCAAAGGGAGTCTTGTAAAATACCAGCCATAAATTTTTCTAATTGATATTTGCTGTCTGAAATTCAAGAAAAACATCCTGACCTTTTCTTTAGCACCACCATCACGCCAAAACGTACATGTATATACAAGATCAACTTAAGTCCTGATGACAAAGTATCTTAAATTAAAAAATATAAAATGAAAACAATGAATTCTCACCAAGCAAACAACGAAACACAGAAAGAGCAGGGCAGTGCCATAAAGCAGAGCCCACCAGTATCCTGAAGGCAACACCTGATAGAGACCTGCAACAGCTGCAGCACCGTCTGAGGGACAGTAAAACAGGGTTAATTAATATAGCAACACTCAAATGCTTGTATTTCCAACCACTTTCTAATGGACCTTACCTTCTGGGATGCCAAAGTTAGCCATGATAGCCTCGACAAGACCCAAAACGTAGAGAGCACTGCCGCACACATTGGCAAAGAAAAACATGATGCCAATGCTGCCGCCGAACTCTGGACCCAGGGCTCGGCTGATCATGTCTAGGGATCCAGGTTAAGGAATATCTGACTCGACTTTCATAAATGTAAACCAACTAAGACTGGATTCAATATCTCACTTTATTGAAGATCAACCACTGGTGAACACAGATTTAGACCACGACCCACCCTGTGCCCATAGTGAATAAAGCAGATAATGGGGACAAATTAAGAGCAGGAAAATGTTTTGTCAATCCATTAGTCCGGCTTAAACACAGACACCCAGGAGAGGCTTTTATACTACAACATAAGTCTCTCTCAGCAGTAAAGGATACAATATGCACCTCCAGCGTCTAAAGCCCCATTGGTGGAGATGGCACAGACAGAAAGCACAGTCATTGTGATGATCAGGTAGGCCACCAGGAACATGACAACGGCCTCGTAGAGCCCTGCTTGACCCACAACAAATCCTGCAGGAGGAAATCTAATTCATAATGTAGTCTAATGTTTACCTCAGGCCTGCAGCATTATTTGTGTTTGCAATGTATCATGTAGGAACTTTTTTCTACTGATGTATGCCATTATTTACATTATGGACACAACAGATGGAATAAAGCAGTGCTAAGATGAGTAGCTGATTAATGGATTAGCTGGTGGTTCAACAACAGAACAGAAAATTGTCAATGAAATCTATTTATTTTTTCCAATCATTTCTTATAAAAACTGTCAAACATTGTATCCTTAATTAAAAAAGTGCTGCTTATCGCGCTGTAAACTGAATATATTTGGATTTTGGACAGTTCATTTGAACAAACCAAGTAACTATTAAAAGAGGTCCCTTGGGAAACTGTGAGGGTTAACATTAAATTAACTAATGATACAAAATAACTGTCAGATTAATCTAAGGAATAATGTTAGCCAAGTTACAATCCTTTACCAATAATTGCTTATACTTTGACACATTTTAAACTGTTATTAGTATTTCATCAAGACTCTGAGGGATGCAACCACATGTTAGCATCGACCTAGCTAAGTTAACTGCTAACCAGGGGTAAAATGAGTTTTTTTTTTTTTTGTATTTTAATTAATTCTAATATGTTCTTTTCATATTTATTTATTTTAAGATAACCGATTTCAGGCACTTTATACCCACCAATCCTCAGAAACACAACGACGCTAAACATAGACAGTAAAGTCGGCATGACCACGCCAAACACCACTCCGAGCTTGCGGGCTGTTTTTTCCTTGGACCGTCGGCCGTGTTTGCCCGCCGTGGCCCCTCTCTGTGGTCTGGACACATCTTTCGGCTCCGGGCCGCTGGTGCTGGTCAGTCGGTAATGGAGGAGAGGAGTCTTTTCTGACATGGCGGTTGAGTTTGCGTACACACAGCTCGCCGGCGTCAACTGAAGACCAGCTTCAACCGCACGTGCTCAATTGGCGTCAAACGTCAGCGTTCCTGTAGCTATGGTGAAATGTGCCAACGTTCGAATCGGCGCTTAGCTACCGGGGTGGCCGTCATTCACCTGGGCACCACCTTGCGCGGGTAATGGCGGTGTGTTAATGGGCAGAATGACGTCGCTTCCTGTAATTGTCTCTTCCAATCAGTTTATTCTTGTAGTTGCTGTGATCGATGTCCAGAAACTGTTGTACATTTATTTTAGATTTGCGCATATGTGAAGAATTTCTGTCCAAAATGTTATTGTTGAAAATATTTATGAAGATTTTTTTCTTGCTTTGGAAGAAGGATTTTTGGGTCTCCTGTTAAAATGTGTAGTTACAGAAGAACATGTGTGTGTATGATTAATGCATTGACAGTATATTTAAGGATTATTCTTATCATTTTACTTGCCAAATTCCACATGCACATGTAAATTTACTTTCTTCATCAGGGAGTTCAAACAATATATTTATTCAGTTCAACACACACAAAACAAAAAGCAATTAAAACTTTAGCAGCCTGTACTAGGCTATATAATAAAGATTTAGCAATATATCTTTCTTTTTATATATATATATAATATTATATATATTTTTATTCTCTTATATGATTCTTATTTCTTTGTTAGTACATCCATACATATAAACGGTCTTTATTATGAGAAATAAAGAGAAAAGAAATTCTTTATATCTACAGACAGCAGCTGTCCTATAAACTAAAAATATGATAACCTGCCTACTGAACTAACTAACCAAATAAATAAATTATTAATCCAATAAATTGTTCTATGAAATCAGTTCATTGCATTATTTTAAAAAGGTTTTGTATCATAAACAGCATTTGTATTAATATACAGTTTAGCAAAAATGTCCTCCTAAATGCAAAATCTGGATATTTGTATCACCAATTAAGGAGCAAAACTGGCCACGTGATCATGCTCCACAACCTCTGACCAACAAAAACTGCCTTCCTATCGTACATTCATCTGTCCATCATAGCAGTCCTATTGCTGTCTTTCATTTCCCAGTACTTCTCCAGCTGTAGTCCCTCTTAATGACCAGCAGAGAAGGGTGTATTTCTACTTTTCCACTCTTAAAGAGTGTGAGTCTACCCGTCACAATATACAAGCAGATGATAAATTTTTAGAAAGGCAACAAGGTGAGGATAAAATCCAGGTCACTCCGGCTGTTGCTCTGGTGGATTTTCCTTCTTCTTTTATTGACCTGGGGCCGCAGTTGAACTCATCCCACCTGTTTATGAAGAACATCACTGAAGTTGTTCTTGTGTCACTGTGAAGTGCATCTGTCCTCCAGGTCAACCATGAACCGCTCCAGCTTGCCTGAGACCAGTTTGTTGTAGCTCACCAGGAATGTGCTCAGACTCTGGGTGCTTCCAGGAACACAAGACAGTCCTGGACTAACCGCTGGCCCCTGCTGGTTCAAACAGGAAATAACACTGAAGGTGGATTCAAAACGAAAGTGAGAAAAGGAAATTAAATCAGAAAGAAGGGGTGACATAACACCCTAAATGGGTTTCAATAATGGCTTCCATCCAGTCCTTGACAACAGAAATCTGCAAAATAACCTTCCAAATTGTAGGATTATGTAAGACACAGATCAAAGGGCATCCATCTTGCAATCTCTCACTGGGAAAGTATGCACCGCTATCTTCTTCGTGTCCTGAGGAAGGAAGGCTTGGGGTCACACAACATAACATCATCACTCCAGAGGACCAGATAATCCAGAAAGCCAAAGATTTATGAGAAACCAGGATATTTCCACACCAGAGGAAACCGATAATGCCTCTGAATGAGATGCAGACCAGTGAGAGAGAAGCCCATCAACACGTTTTCACTCACTTTGTGTGAACGTTCATCATCACACTAATGAATTTTACATGGCTCTGTTTGTTGTGATGTGTTTGTGTGTGAGTGGCGAAGACAGACTGAGCCCAGTTAGCCTTGATCTGGTTATTTGCAGGTCAAAAGGCATCCACGTAAAAATCGAAAGTGGAAGCTCCATAGAAGCCAAGGTTGTTTCAAAGGTATTTCATTGTCTATATTGATGTGTTTGGACCTCCTTAACAGTTAAATATTGTTTTTTTAATGGCTGTATGTATCAAAGACATCCAGACATGTTTGCAACCAAATTTATAGCAATCTTAACCCCGTCATTTACACTCCTTTTGACCAACAAATCACCAAAATCAGTCCGTACTGGGAGTGCGTATGTGCTTGTTCGCATGCAGTTTATGTCAGTGTGACTGCTTCTTACACTCAGCTGAAGATGTGTGAGGATGAGCAGGTAGTTGCTGATGTTGTGCTCCAGTCTCTGAAGTAGCGAAGTGGCGCATTCTGTCTGGCTTAGGGCCCTCACACCCTCCACACCTTCAATAAGAAGCCTCAAGGATGCTACGATGTCTCCTCTCTTCTCCTGGTGCTGCAGTAACACAAACACACACATACAGAAAAAGAAAAGCAATGAAAGATATTAATAACCCACCAAAACCAACAGTAAGCGAATAAGAAATCCATTGTGGTCGAGGATTCTGGACTCATACATGTGCCAACATACTGATTTGTTTCCCCAAGATGCTACATGAAGCTCGGTGCAGGGTAGCTGAAGTGGTGTGGAGAGGGCCGTCAAGCCATTACAGTTACTCTGCAATGGAAGAGACAGGTGACAGAGGCCGGACAAATAGGTGGACTACAGACAGACAGACAAAGAGGATTAAATATGGCAGGAGGAAAGAGAGTCAGGGAAATGTTGGGAAAGACTTATCCTCACCAGTGCACTCTCCATCCCTGCCACAATATTCATAACCCTCCTGGCGCCTTTATTACACAAAAAATCTATGGGTTTGGTCTCAGCATCCCACACCTCAGAGGCTACCACACATAGCAGCAGGAGTCCTGGACAAACACATAAATACAGGTTCCACAAGCCAGCTTATTTAGCTTACAACGAGTGCATTAAAAATCCTCATAAGTCAAACTTTTTAGGCTCACTACTCACTGCTTAACGCCATGCCCTGCTTGGCAGCTCCTGATGAATCCACATTTGTTCCATTAAGAAATGTGCCAGGTGGAAAATGCCCCGTGTCCACTGTAGAGGAGCTGTGTGTCCTTTTTGTCTTCTCACCACTTGATTTCCCACCTTCTCATTCAGTAGTGGGAAGTGCGAGTGTTATCTAGCCTGAGAGCAGGATGCGCTCCAACTTCCCTGCTGCGCAGCATAACAAAATGTTATAGACTGAAAATGGCATTTCATTGATATTAGTGGGACTATTTGGCTTCTTGTTTGGACAGAGCTAGCATTTCAGAGCATTCAGGGGACAGCATGCTTGCTGACAAAAAGGTTAATGATTTATTATTGTGAAAGACTACATTTACACAGCTGACATCAAATCCAGTCACTACTGCTGGAGGCTATTTACTTTTTGTCAAGGTTTGTGCTGGCCAATAGAGGTAGCAGCTTGGGTTCATAATATTCACAAAATTGATGTCAGAGGGAGCCACACACGCACACACACACACACACATACAACGTGTGGGTGTGTGTAAGCTGCATGTGGGTGTGTAGCCTGGTGACTTAACTGTGTGTGACATAATTCAACTACAAGACTTGGAAATAGTGTTTTTTTTAAAAAAGGTTTTTAGACACCCACAATCAGAAGGTTGTTAATGTAGAAACAAGCCAGATTTTTTTCCATATTTATATTCACAAAGGATAAAGTCCAAACTGTGCCAAGATTTTTATTTTGTAACTTTTTGTAATAATTTTGTACATTTTGACTAGGCTGCTCCATATGATCTCACAGGCGTGTGGTGAGGACAAGGTGAAATCACTGCCAACGTGATTAGCCATCCGCGGATCATTTAATAGCTTACCTCTCCTCTCTGTGTTTATCACCCGGGAGGAGAGGTGAACAAGCGGACTTCACCCGGATACATTGCAATCATCCATCGGGTCGTAATGTCTGCGGGGCGCAGCTGGAAGACGCTGTGGCGCTCCAATTCAATTGACATGTCGGGGGTTGAGGAGGTATAATAACTGTCAAAGACATGGATAAGAGAAAACATGGGGGAATGCACCATCCATCCTCATTTCAGACACACGTGTTCACCCCCTTTACCCCTGCCTGGACAGTGAATGAGCCCCTGCCCTCTCCTATTTGCGCCCAAGCGGTTTATGCGTGCCATGATTAAGGCTCATGACGTCTAATATTAGACCCCAAGAGTGAGTGTGTGTGCGTGTGTGTGTTGTCACATAAGGAGAGAGAGAGAGAGAGAGAGAGAGAGAGAGAGAGAGAGAGAGAGAGAGAGAGAGAGGGAGATGCAGAGGGAGAGAGCATGAACACTAAACACATGTTTTCTTTTTCTCCCTCCAAACCTCCTCCTATCACTGCACACAATCTCGACCGCCGGTAATTAAGACGAATGTGCGCCGCGGCTCCGCAGATAATGATCGGAGCGCCTGCATTTCTGCACACAAGGAGAAAACTGCGGGCCATGGCACTGACGGTACCCGCATTGCATCACGGACACGACACCCGGTACCCCGCTGTCTCCCTCCCACCTCAACTGGAGCCGACGAGGAGACTGTATAGCATCTCATCATAGAGTTTCTTTACCTCACAACCCCATGCAGCCGCGCTCTCGGACGACTGGCTGTTGTCGCTCCTGGTCTCCAAAGCCAGTCAGCAGCTGCGTGCTCCGCTGTGCGCTGCTCTGGAGGCGCAAAACCGGTAATTACGCGCAGTGTTGACAACTTTGGCGCGGTGCTGTATGGATTGTGCATCAGCTACAGGCCAGTCTCTGGGATCTACTGAGATTTTCCTCTGGTGGAGTGAAGTGTGATCCCCGGGGGTCATCCGCTGCCCGATCACATTATCGATAAAGTGTGCGCTGCAACCTGTAGCTGCGTGCCCATTTTTTCAGTCATCGTTCCGCCAAGGCGCAATGGAGGGACACAGCTGACGGTTCTGAATCCGTAGCCCGAGGAGGAGAGAAGAAAAAAGAGGAGGAAGGCAGACTCAGGGGAAACCGTAAGTATGCTGCGTCCTGACAAGATGGATTTTTTTTTCTCTCTCCAAAGTGGCAAATTCGTGTGTGTCGCCTGAACTTTGTGCATATCTGGCTCAAGGGCAAATGGTAATTGAAGGTCTGATTGGATTGTGGTGTGTTTTTTGTTATTCTGGTGTCATTTTGTGGTTATTGCCGAGTATTTTCTCACAGCTGTAGACAACAGAATGAATGACAATTGAGAAACTTGCCACACAAAACAAAAGGAGGTACAGGTGGTTGTACATCCTAATGTTGCGCATCAAGGACTCAAGGTCCTTGTAATACTAGAAAAAATATATGTAAAAAATTTAAAATTTATGCCTAGTAGCCTATGTCATATTAAATTATTTTTACTTTTACTCTTAGGCCTGTTATTTAAAAATAATGAATGAAGGAGAGAAATTGTCTGAGATTATTCCTCTTATTTCCCTAAATTTAAGAAATAACTTTTCCTACAATGACACACAATTAATTTATAATTAGGCTACAATGAACTAATCCAAACCTTGACTTAATTGTAATTACCCTAAATGCTTAAACCATTTTACAATGAGGTCTGGAAAACGCATGTGATCATTTTCTCATCATCTGGAGGTTGAACCGTTGATCTTTCTCTTCACCGTCACACAGGACAGGAGACATGTTGTTTTTCCTCTTGTATTTTGCTACCAAACTCCTCCACACAGAGGTGGGTTGGTATATTTCTAAAGAATCCTGTGGAGATGGAGACATGTGGGTCAGTGTGCTGATGCTCGGGGCTGCAGAGCACCCAGTTCCTCTGCTGCCGGGGCCACGGTACCACTGCCTGTCTGTGGCTGCCAGCTCCCTGATAAAATGAAGTCGGTGACGCTCTTTACCCTGAGTTACAAGAGAGGGAGGGAGATGATGTGAGGGCAGGCTGTGTAGGCCCAAGGTGCATATGAACCTGAAGTCCACGAATAACGAGATTTGTGAATGAAAACGTGTATTCGTGGGGGAGTGAAGTCCCTCCCCTCACTCAGTGGTCTCGGGGGCCCTGGCTGGCTCATTCTGGTGCCTGTGGTCCAGCACTTTGAACTGGTTGCCTTGCCAACAACCAATCAGCTGCAGTGTTGTGCAGAACTGTTTTATCAGCCAGTCAGAAGCTTTGACTCCCAGAGGAATTAAGTCTTTGTACCTGTAAAGGATCAGAGAGTTTGACATTCAAATGCATGCTGGCCTGTGACCAGTTAAATTGTTTAATGTGACGCCATCAATTTCAATCTTGGGTGTAGTAGTGACCTGTTCTTTTGGTGGTTCAATTTTAACACAATGCTAGGAATGGGTAAGGTACGCACATTTGCTTTGGCCTGAGAAAGTTTTGAACTTCCTGAATTTTCCCATCCAACTCATGGCTTATTGGCAAACAGGAAGGATGTTTGGCTCCTGACGAGACAGCAGTAAATCCTTGGAACAGTGGTTATCTCTCAGGTGTGAGTCTCACTTGGCACCGCATCTTTCAGTGCAATAGATTTCGCTGCCAGTGACTAGCACCTCCGAAAAAGCCCTTTAGTGAAAGCCCAGGGAGATGAGCTCACAGTGTTATAATACACGTGTCATCTAAAGAAAGGAAATGATCTGAGTGAGCCTTCATGTGTGAACTTCTAGTGTTGGATAAAATCTCTCCTGATAAGTTCTTCTGCTAGCACACGCATAAACAGGCAAGGCAGTTTTATGAGCCTCAGCGGTGATTGTTGTGGTGCCCATGAGCACGGTACTTCACAGTGAATTGCTTCCTTACAGGGCTGTTTGGCAGCCAATAGTAGAAGAATATGAGGCAATGCACGAGTTCTGACTGAATCTGTGGTGGCAACAGACGTATAAAGGTGACAATAATGGAAAAACCTTATCTTAGTAATGTGTCAGACCACTATGGACCTGTAGAAGAACTTCAACGTCCCTTTGCACACAGGTCTCTGAACTCTATTCTATCAGATAATATTCCCTCATTTCGTGTTTTGATGATGGTGATGGAGAGCACTGTCTGAGACATCTGCCCAAAATCTCCCATATGTGTTCAGCTGGATTGAGATGTGGTGTATATGACCAAATGCATGTCATCCACATAATTTTTATACTCAATCATTAACCCTTTGCGCCCTTTGGATGGAGGAGACCAGTTGTGCTTGGAAGAGGAGGGTGAAGCAAGGGAGTTGCAATCTGTAACTACATCACTAGATGCCACTAAATCCTACACGTTGGTCCTTTAAATATGTATTTACATTTTGATTTTAAAGGGGCATTGCACTGATTTTTACACTTCAAGTTCAGTTTATTCATTATGAGGAGTTTACTGTGAAACAGCTGTATTTCTTCTGCGAGAAAAACATGATGATGACATCTGCCTGCATCACAAATATGGGATAAAGATTTTAAGAGACCTCTTGTCTTAGTTGTTGTAATTTTACAGATATCTTTGGGGCTTTTGTGCCTTTATTTGATAGGACAGTTGAAGACAGACAGAAAAGCTGCTGGAGCTGTCATTTTAAAACAACATCAGTTGAATATGACGTGTGGCACAGCTGTGTCATCTGGCCATTGTCACGCCTCTCTTTTACGTAAAGAGTGCCGAAAAGACTTCCACAAAGGATACACCTGTGGATCCTCACTCATAGCTCCTCCTTCCTCCTCAAGATGCATTTTAGGAACTGAGACATCCTTCAAGATGGTCCATGTCCGGGTAACAGGCAGGAGGACGGAGGAGAGAGGAGATGAGATGGCACAAAACAGAGAATTGAGAAGTAAACCAAGCAGAGAGGGTGTGATTGAAGACATTGAGTTGCATTATGGGTAATATAGGATCCAGCCTTTGGAGCTTAACCCATAAAAGTCTGGACATCTTGTCTTCTGCTGCATCAAGTTGACCATTCTTTTAAAAAATGTGTCTTTTGTGAAACCTTCAATGTATAAGCAAGTGCAGTACTAAATTGCTGGAGTACCCCTTTAAGAACTTCTCATTAAAAGAACAGGTAAAAAATAATATAAAGAGATTTAGAGAGATTATCTGAAACAAATGATAAATAGATTGTACAAAATACTGGCGCCACTTCACTTGAAACTACTTATCCTGTTAGGCTAAATGACACTGAGGTACAGAAAAAGAGCTATGATAAGACACTGACCTTTACTAAAGCTGAGAGAATCGTGGAGGTAGATAAAGAGATACAGACGAGTAAAAGAAGTGAAACAACTGAAAAAAAAAGCATTTCAGTACAGTATTCATACATGAGCCAGTGTGAATAATGTATGGATGGCATCCCAAGAGGCTCAGACACCATCCCCTATTCACTCACTATAGGGACAAGCTTTGTATGTGGTAAAGATCTCTGTATGACATTGAGAGAGCCATATAACACGAGCCTCACCCTTGTGAATTACTCATCACTCTTGATCAATCCAGTGATGACTCAAAGCGGGAGCAAAGGACAGTTGAGTCTTTCAGAAATACCACGCAAGAATTAAAAATAAATAAATAAATAAATAAAGCATAACCCTACACATCACAATTTGTCCAAATAACCATTTATTACAACTGCACACGCCTCCGCACCAAAGCACACATAAAAAAAAATCCTGAACATCATCAAGTCCAGTAACTCCAGAGAGAGACAGTAGCACAGTGAGAGTGGAGGAGGGAGGCGGTGTTTTGCAGTCAAACCGCACCAGCGCTGCTGCGAGGCGACATCCAGCTATACTCTCATCTGGCACACACACACACGCGCGCATACACACACACACACACACATACACACACACACAGCGGCGACGGCGCTTTGCATCATGCAGGAGGGCTTATAATAGGAAACCTGTTACACACAAAACGCTGCACATGTGATGGCAGGCAGCCGCGCCGGGTCCTCCTCCTCCTCCGCAGATTAATTAGCGGGCGACTTGCGCTCCTGAGAGTCTCGGATTGGGTGTCTTAATGAGGATATTGCGGCAATGGTGAAGGACAAGGCCCAAAACCGGACGCTTCAGTATCAGCAAACTTTGGTGAGTTTCGGATGAGGTCATAGATGATGTTTAACGTTTCATTTTGTCGGTGCATGGAGGGGATTCATGGCTGCCTGGTCGGCTGGAGGATGGAGACACAGCTGCTGGCTGCTCAACTGTGTCCTGCGTGAGAACAGGAGGAGACTGTGTGTGGGTTTTTTTTAAATGAATGTTCCTGTATAGATATAAATTTCCCTAAATCCAGTAATTATTTGCTGATTGGAGGTATTTTGCCCTGCTTTCCCTCAAGTTGCTGCTCAGCCTCCTTCCCCTCTCCCCATTCATTCACCTTGATCCACAGGTGTTGCATCACCCTCAGCCTCCTCCTCATAATTAATTCTTATCCATTTAGATTTCACCAAACCATGTCAGATTAATTTGTTCAGCGTGAAGAAATGCATAGGCTATCTGTGATCACTTTATGTATAGCCTAATGGGTCATTATTAAGATGTTAATATCCATGAAATACAAGATTAGAGCCTCCTTCTGCTTACTGAGCTCTAATGTATTTTGCTTGCATCCTGCATACTCCTTTTCTCCTCCTCATTCTCCTGCAGATCTTGTCCCTCCTCTTGCACCCTTCTATCTATTCCTCTGTCATCTTCCTCTCAGCCGTTCCTGTTTGCTATAGCGGCCCCTTCTACTTATGAACCAAAAGTGGAGTATTTTTGAATACTAATTGCCTCATGCACCAGTTTTCCCCACTGGTGTCATTGCATGAGTGACAGTGATACCCTGGAGCACTTTACACAGATATATCTATATACAGATAAAGGGATAGAAAGGCATACAGATAGGCAGGCAGTCAGGCAATCCAATGGATTCAAGTGTCCTTCCACCCTAATTTGTGTGTCTGTGACTGCCGCTGGCTCTCGTCTTCCTTTTTCTCTCTTCTCTTTGTTGGTCAGTCCGTCTTCTTGAAGCTGTGCTGGGCCCGAGTGGTACAGAGGTGCTCATCTGCTCTTGTTGGTGTGAAGATCGATGGTGTGATGTGTGTCTCAGTGTAAAGATCAATAGTAATGTAAAATGGCTGTCGGAGTCTCTAAGGATTCGAACGTGCTGTCTGCCCCCTCCCTCTCTTCTGACCACAGCGCTCAGATCAATGGCTTTATCATTTACTCCCTGTGTACCAGTCCATTATCCAAAAATAGATGCATGTGTTTCTGCACATGAGAGCGATTGTGAAGCTCGTGTCCAGATACTTTCTAGGTGTAAAGTGTGGGAGCACTATTCATCAAATATCTTCGAAAACTGAATAACATGGAGAGATAAACATTAACCACACATTTAAATCAGATAAGTAAAGGCTCACAGAGTTTCTTGCTGCTGTAGCTGCAGTCTAAAATTGGATTCTTATGTTGACAAAAGGATCCTCTGTGTTTTATTGTTTGCCATCAGCAAGATTCAGACGATTTTCAGTCATGTGGTTGCTTGAATTTTGGCAGCAGAGAACCACTGGTGCCGTAGCAAGATAGAGCTGATGACATGGAGCAGATAGAGAAAAAAAGAGATCTGTCTGATAACTTCTCTGGGAGGGAAGCAGCACAGAAATGTCATTTCATTCACAGCCACTGTACAAAAAAAATGCCACGTCCCTCTTGTATTTATACATTCATGGCAACAATCACGTTATAGAATGAGCAGATGATTGACTGTAGTGTTTACAAAGGCAATGCAACAAAAATGACCCTTTAATTTATGGCTCCTGTTGGTGTTTGAGTTTTACAATCAGTGAGCGTTTGCTGTGACAATCCATTAAGATCAAATGTGGTGGGTATCATAAACGTATCCTATAAATGAGCTGAACGACTGAATAATTGATATAATTACATTGCAAATGCCCACGATTGCATTTCCCTCTGTGCAAAATAAACCATAAAGAAAACAATTACTTGATATGTAAACGATATCCATTCATATTTCGTGTACAGCAGCACTGATGCCGTATTTTCAGTCGCTGCAACAAACAGATTTCCTAGAAAGCATTTCACAGTCCCCACTAACCTTCTCTGAATTCATTATCCATAAAGGGAATGGTAAGACAGAGAATAAACAGGCTATTTATAATCATTAAGATATTCATGAATAAAACAGTGTGAAGAAAGTCTTTATTTTAGGTGGCAGCTGTGTTCTGGTTCCTGTGCGGAGATGCAGGAGAGATCCTTTGAGCAGCAACTGACAGTAGGAAAGCGTCCAGGGTCTGGTGCATGGGTCACTGGCTTCTACAACTGGCTGTCAGGTGCAGTGCATGCTGGGACGACTGTGCGTCTCTCGTGGGATGGAGGGATGGAGCAGGTAAAGCTGAGAAGATGCAGGTCAGAGACTGTAAAGAAAAGAAACAGACGGTGTTGTGGTGACTGTGTTGAAGTGTTTCAGCTTTGCATCTGAAGCTTTTTCAAAAGCTTTTTTCAGAGATGTGGGAGGTCTGGATGTGTCACAGGGTGCATGTGTTTTCTCTTTTCAGAAGCGTGGGCAAGTTTTGCTCCATAGGTCTTGCATGTGTATCTAGTTTGTGGGTGTGTATGTGTGTGTACTGCACCTACGCATCTGTACCTGCCCACACACACGTGGTTAAATGAGCGTGTGGTAACTCTCTGTCGGAGCAGATGTTAGAGACGGCATGTTCATGTCCTTCCAGCAGCAGGATGCTTGAAGATTTGGCTGCTGCAGGGATCAAAGTCATCATCCACCTGAAGAGGAAAAGCCGCCACCCCACACTTCCCCTTGCTGCCCCCCAACCCTCGCCACAGGGCACTGCAGCACCACGGAAACGATAACACACAGTACACACAGTACACACAGTACACACAGTACACAAGCTGCTGGTCTTTCTGAGTGTGTGCATTTGTGTGATTCTGAGCAAGTTGCTGCACTGACTATCAAGACACACCACTGCGAAGATTTAATTCTCACTCTTCCATATGTCTGAGGTTGATAAATATTTAAAGCTGTGCTACTGCAACAGAAATGTATGTGAAAATACGCAAATAGTGGTGCAGGAGGAAATCACAGTCTCATATTCCCTCACTGAGACAAAGAATTGGGAGCCAGAAAAACGTTTAAAGGAAAAACACAAAGCATATTACGTTTACTTACTGAATACTAGTGCCTAAATGTGTGTATGTAGGATGAATACAATTGCACATTAAGTGTTGCACATGCTCGTATTTGCATACTGTTAGTGTGCACTATGCAGCATTTGGACACAGATTGTCTGTCCACAGAACACTGGACTGAGAGATCTGTTGCCTCTTCTCATCTCTTTTGTATTGTTTGTTGTAAAGTGTCACAGACCAGTTGGGTTGGTAAATATGAGCATGCTGTTTGCAGTTTACTTCCATCACTTTTGAAATTACACAGTGTTACCGTACATCTAATTGCCATTTTGTGAAGCTATCATGAGAGGTTTCCTTGTGCTTTATGAGGAAAACTCCCATATTTGAATTTGACTATCATACATATATCTGTGTATCTCAGCATCTTTCTCTCCCTCTGTCGCGTTGTACACGCACACACACACACACACACACACACACACACACACACACACACACACACAAATGCGCTGTCTCCTCAGGGGGGTCTAGTTCCTCCTAGTCAGCATTCTGTCTGATCTCACACACGGAGACTGGCTTGAGTCCATTTCAGGTCCTGTCACTTCCAAATAGTGCTGTTACCTGCAAACCACTGAACGGGCCACTGCAGCGGCTGCAGACAGAAAAAAAATCTATCTCAATTAATCTTAATGTTAAAATAGACCCCGCTTACTGTATCGTAGTGTGTGTGTTCACGAACGGAAGAGCTATTTTTAAAATGGCACAGCTGCCAAAATACAATGTACTTGTGAACCCTGTTATAAAACCCCTCAGAGCATGTAGGGTAATAATTCTTAATAATAAACATTCGCTGACAACCCAAAATAAATAAGTAGTATTGTGAAATAAAAGATCCTTTACTTAAGTAAAAGCAGCATTTCCAAAATTGTACATAAGTAAAGGCCCTTAAAATGGCCCTTTTAGAGTGTTACATGTGCTATTATTGACCCATTATTACTGACTATTATTAGTGTTAAAGATGTATTAACATGTAAGCAGCATTTTAATGTTTTAATTGGTTGATCATTTTAACTACTTTACTGTTGTGTAGTTTGTTCACACAATTCACCATATTTATTAAATATGGTGAATTGTTAGTAGAGATATGTTTTGTATATAAAATCTTTCTATAACTACTATCTAGGGCTACCACTGTTATTGTCATTATAGATTAATCTGTGTATAAGATTTTTAAAAAACAATAAAAATCTAATCAACAAAATGTGAAAATTACTCATCGCAAACTTCCCAGAGCTTCAATTTGTTTGTTTTGTCCGAACAACAGTCCGAAACTCAAAGATTTTTCGTTTAGTTCCATATAAGACACAGAAAAGCAGAAAATTATGCCATTTGAAAGGCTGGAACTAGAAACGATAAAACGACGTTATCAAAATAGGCTCCAATTCATTTTCTGCTGATCGACTAATAGATTACTCATCTACCTGGTTCTGTCAAATAAATGTAAAAGAGAAAGAAGTTTGTTATTTTCCTCTGAAATGAAGAATGAATCTGTGGCTCAGGTGGTCGAGGAGGTTCGTCCATTGATTGCAGAGCTGGTGGTTTGATGTCAAAGTGTCCTTGAGCAACACACAGTTGGAAGACGCTGTCATCAGTGTGTGTGAGCGCGAGACACTGTGGATAATAGTGGCGAATAGAAATATGATGCAGCATGAATGTACTAAAATACCTACAAATTTGACTTTTGTAGTTAAAATTAAGAATAAAATATATATATTGTCATCATCATGCGTTATTTATGTTCAGAGAACCAGTCAGACCTCTCAGAGTGTTGTTTATCTCCGTTCTGCCTGTAATACTTATTTTAAACCTGTTGCAAATGTAATCTCTGGGGATGAGTGTCATGATGTACGCAAGACAGCCAGCTCCCCCCCTCAAGTCTTTTT